GTGGCAGAATTGGAATCAAGTCCCCCTGACTCCACATAAAGTGCTACTTCTACAACATTACACTACAATCTATTATTTACAACTTAATGCAAATAGCTTAATCACTGAGCTTTTCTAACAGCAAGCCCTAAGGGAATGTGAGTTTTGAATACATAAGAATCAGGAGAGTAGAAGAACGGAGGATAAGTTAATAGTGGAGCATTTCAAAAGTAGGAAGAAATAATATGGTGAAGTAAGAGGCACTGGATAGCCATCTTCAAGGAAAAGAGAAATAAGCTGAGTGAGGACCAGGGGTGCAAAAAGGTGAGGTGATGCCCAAGACAAACTTTAAATAATAAAAGTATCTATCTATCTATCTATCTATCTATCTATCTATCTATCTATCTATCTATCTATCTATATCTATCTATATTACCTACATACCTGCCCATCACTTACCACCTTTTTTCCTAAAGGCTGTGGGAGCCATCACTTAACTTCTAATAACATCCAATTTACAAATGTCCTTTAGATTAAAAAAGCCAGTGTACTGCAAAATAGGCAGGTTCATGCCAAAGCTGTGGAAGAGTGTCCCCTGCCACTTGCTTCCCTTTTGGCTGCATGTTATATGCTATCAATGGTGAAGGGGCTGGCGTTGAGGGAGAGGAGCCATGTTGCTAGATTCTCTGCCAACATTAAAAGTTGAGGGAGGTCAAAAATCTATTTTATTCCCAAGAGAATGCAAAATGTGCTCTGGTACAGCAGCTTTTCCTCTTCCTCTAAGCTTAAAAGTGATTAAGGTAGAGAGAAGAGAAGCAGGAATATATTTCTGGAATCACTCTCCATCTTTCTTCTTGGTGAGAAGGGAGGAGAGGATGGAGAAAATCTTTGCAACAAACTCATTGAGGGGAGTTAGTTTTAAAATGAGAAAAGGATTTATTTTTTTACATGAATCAGTAGAGGCACCATAGGGGAGATGCAGGAGGCAGCATGTGCCAGGAAGGTCAAATCATAACCAGTAACTGATATGATTTTAGCAGTAGAAATGGTATTAAAGAAGACCCATTAACAGCTTTGCTGCTGCACTCTAAGGACCATGGGACTTTTCCATCTGACCTGGGCTGAAATCTTCCAGGTGTTGTCTCCTCACTGGAATGTGAGACCCCTAAGAGCAAGAACTTTTCTATTTGGATTCTTGGCTTAGTAGTGTTTTGCACACAGTAAATGCTTAATAAACGTTTCATTCATTCCTTAATTCATGACAAATGTATATTATTTCAGTGACATTATGTTTTTAAAATAAATGTTTATTTTTAACATTCTTTTTTTTTTAAATTTTGAGTTCTGAGTTCTCTATCTGCCAGCCCCTCCCCCACCCATTGAGAAGACAAGAAATGTAACATCAGTTATACATTTGAAATCATACAAAACATATTTCCATATTACCCATATTGTAAAAAAACAAAGTGAATAAATTATGTTTCAATCGGTGACATTATGGTTTTAAAAGGTCTTTTGTTGTTTCATTTTATTTGGGGGGGGACCTGAAGTGGGGGGAAAGAATAGCCTGGAAACCTGTCACTTAACAACTATGTTTCTAAGTGAAAATGTTTTCTGAATTTCAAAGAACTGATTTACACAGAAACTTTTCAAATTCAACTCCTTTTGTATGTTTGTACCTGCCAAATCTACAGTTCCTTATCATGGTGGTCACCAGAGTAGGACCACTCTAGAGTACCTGATCCAGGAGTCAGTGTTAAGAGAAATACAAGAGGGAAATCTGACTATTAATATTTATGTGTGTAGGAAGAATGTTTATTTTTTAAAATTTGATTTTCTGTTAATTTCATAAAGTTTAGACTCTAGGACAGGGAGATTCTAAACATTTCTAAACATCTTTCCTTCAATATTCCTTTCTCAATTTACACTAATACATATCTCCATCTCAAATAGCAAAAAGAACGTGCTGGGTTTACCAATTTCTTAAAATATGGATGGACTAATAACTGTGTGTGTGTGTGTGTGTGTGTGTGTGTGTGTGTGTGAAAGAGAGAGAGAGAAGAGAGAGAGAGAGAGAGAGAGAGAGAGAGAGAGAGAGAGAGAGAGAGAGAGAGAGAGAGAGAGAGGGAGAGAGAGAGAGAGAGACAGACAGACAGGAAGGTAGGCAGAGAGAATAGAGGACAGGTTGCAAGAGAGATCAATTAGAATGGTGAGCAAATTATATACATCTTTTTTTCATCTAATGTACATCAGCTTAAACTGGAATGACCACAGCACAATTAAAGAATTTTAAAGCTAGAAGAGGCCTCTAAGATTATCTAGTCCACCTTTTTTCATTTTACAGAAGAGGAAACTAAGGCCCATAGAATTAAATGACTTATCTAAGGTTATATGGTGAATTTACTGGAATCAGGAATAGAATTCAGCTCTCCTGACTCTTGGAACCTCTGTATTGACACCCTGTGCTATTCTACTATACTGATGATTTTGTATATTCAACTTTAATAAAAACTCTACTGTATATAACAGTTGTTCAAAAGAAAGACCATTTAAACTCCATAGTTCTTTCTTAGGATGTGGATAGCATTTTTCATCCTGAGGCCTTTGGATGTCTTAGATCCTTGCACTGCTGAGAAGGGTTAAAGCTATCAATATTAGTCACTGCACAACATGGCTGTTACTGTGTTCTCCTGGGTCTGCTCACTTCACTCAGCGTCAGACCATACAAGTCTTTCCAGGTTTTTCTGAAGTCTGCCTGTTCATCATTTCTTATAGCACAATAGTATTCCATTACGTTCATATACTAAGCTTGTTCAGCCATTCCCCAATTGATGGACATCTTCTCAATTTCCAATTCTTTGCAGATCAAAGCATAATATTTGCTATTTTTTTTCTGTTGTGTTTTGTTTCCTCTTTCTGGTGGTTCCTCCTATTGGTTCTAATTCTTTCTTACATCACTAATGTGAAAATATGTTTAATAGGAATGTATATGTATAGCCTATATCAGATTGCACACTGTCTTGGGGAGGGAGATGGGGAGGGAGGAGGAGAAAAATTTTAAACTCAAAAGCTTATGGAAGAGATTGTTGATAAATCAAAATAAATTAATTTTAAAAAAGGGATAATGATACTGAGTCTTTCTCCCTAAAAGGACACCTGTGATTCAAACTATGGTACTCTGATTGTAGACCTATGTGATATCTCCAATATACTAGACTGTCTCTCTGGCGGGAAAAAAAGAGACTATTTGCAAGATGGACTTCAGACAATGCAGTAAAGAATACAAAAACAAAACAAGCAAAAAATATCAGGAGTAAGACACCCACCTCAGTACTCCATAACTTCCACCTTCTTGTTCCTCCTGATACAAACTATGTAAGAAGGTCCTGAGTTTGAAGTCTGCTCTTTAACAGGTAGGTGTCATGCAGTATTACCACTGCTAAACATTTCCTAGAATGCACTCTCCTCCCTCATCATCATCTACCAGAATCTTATCTTCCTTCAAGACTCCACTCAAGCACCACTACCCTCCCTGAAGTATCCCTAGATCTATACTACCCCTTCCAATTGCGAATTTCTTATCCTCCTGAATTTTCCTTGTACTATACTTACCTATATATAGCTTGCATGTTTACAGTAAAATGTGAGCTCCTAATAGGCTGATACTATTTTGTTTCTCTTTTTGCACCCCTAGTACCTTACACAGTGCCTAAGAAGGCACTTAATAAATGTTAGGTGAATTGAATGGAAAAAAGTATTTCATGGAAACCAAGCAGAACCCCCAATTCAATCACCTCAAAATGAGGCTTTGTTCCTGTTTTCTTCTTCTGTGCTTACAAATTCAGAAAAATGTAAATCTTCATTCTAGAATTAATCCAGAGGTCAACTCAGTTTCTTCTCCTGTACTTCTTTATGAAGGGCCATGACTAATTCTGGATAAAGTACAGTAAAATATCTATCACTAACACTTAATAAATGCTTAGTAATGCTGATACTGCATTACACCTCTTTGAGAACAGAGTTCAAAGTCATGAAATGGATAGCATGGTATAGTATATATATATATATATGTCAAGGGAAAAATGGCTGTAACCAGGGTTCTAAATTACAAAGGAATTTAGGTAATCACCTTTTGAAAAGCAACCAGTAACCATTCTAAACTGCTAGCTCCATTTTTAGGTAAAGTTCCTAGACATTCACCCTAATTTTAGGTCTTACTTGCTTCCTACATTCCATGGACTCATTTTTGCCAAGAAGAATGAAAACAAAATTGCTCTGAAATTACTCCATACCTTGGCTTTGCTCTGTTCACAGATTAACAAATATAAAGTCAATTTTTCAGATATTTAAGACTACCTTATGTAGGCCACCCAATCCAACTCTTACTTTTTCCCATCAATAAGTACAAAAGCAGAAAGTGGTCTTAGCTCACACTCAAATGAATAAAGAGTTTACTCCCACCCACACTAGTAGGTAGACATCACCATCACAGGAAAGGGACAATATGAAAAAGGGGAATAGCACATCAAATTGAGCTTTTCTTCTCTTCCTCTAAAGGAAAATAATTCATCATTTAGTAAACTTTTTTGCATTATCATGGCAATCAGACAATTTTGAGCTGAAACTTCAATCATAGGAAGAAGTTCATTCCCAAGTTCCAATAATAGCTAATGCTGTTTTCTAAGCCCACCCATTATACTAATATTACTTAGATAACTTTTGGCAAAGGTCCCTATTTTATTTGTCGCTTTTGAAATCCCTTCAGATGGTAAATATTCACTCACTAGGTTAGCCTTCTAAAAGTTACAAGTGAAACAGCTATATTATCACTGAATTATTATTCCACCAGGAATTACTAAAATTTGCTATGTTTTTTAAAAAAGCAAAATCTAATAGTACTCCTTAATTCACTCTCCCTATTCCTGTATTCCAGGGGATAAAATAAAAGTGGTCCAAGTCATTTACTTTCAAATCTTGATATTGGCAAGATTTCCTTTAAAGATTCCTTTTAAAATACTCACCAGGAGCAATTGTCTCCAAGGTATCAGGATTCACTTTCCTGGTGCTTGTATAGTGGTGGAGAGTGGAGCCAGAAAACACCAAGTAAAAAACTACATCATCTTCGACTTTATCCTCTTCAGCAAGCAACACTGTGACAACACAGTCACCCTAAGGGAAAGGAAGACAGCATGAAAAATTCATTTTAGCAGGAATCTAAATAAACATTAGTCCTTTACTTCATAAAGTATCAGAGTTTAAGGAGACCAAAGATTATGTGAAGCCAGTTGCCTATTTCACAGCCTTTGCTTGCTCCTTTGAGATCCGTGTATGTGCGTGGTGAATAGGGACGAGAGTCAAAAGAAGAGGGGGATCTGAAACTTTAGAAGATAAAACCAAATAAATAAATCTGGATGTCACTTTTAGACACTTTTAGAATGAGAGTTGTTTCTACAATGAAAGATGAATTAATTTATATGTTTTTGCTCTTTTGTAGTAGCAGAGAAATAGCAAAAAAAAAGCAGGTGTTAATCAACTGGGAAACAGATAACAAATCGTAGTAATGAATATAATGAAATACTACTACACAGTAAGACATGATGAGCATGAGTTTAGAGAAGCTTGTTCAGATTTAAATTTACTGATTCAAAGTAGAATCAGGAAAACAACATGTATAATAGTTACAATGACAGAAATGGGAAGATTAAGTAATAAGTAAATTAAATGCTGTTTAATAATAATAACAAAGCCTTTTCCTGAAGAAAATAAAAGATGAGAAAATGCATCTCCCTCCCTTCTTTGCACGTAGAAAGGTGCATTTACTGTCAGGCTCAGATAATGTGTTGGTTAGATTTGCTGAACTGTTTTTTCCCCTTTTTTTATCTGTTACAGGGGCTAGCTTTTTGGGTAGGGAAGTGGAGAGGTGTATTCAGAAATAAAGGTAATATTAAAACAAAATATACGAATAAAAGCATCATTTTAAAAAAAATTACAGTGGATAGAGTACCGGCCCTGGATTCAGGAGGACCTGAGTTCAAATCTGACCTCAGACACATAACACTTACTAGCTGTGTGACCCTGGGCAAGTCACTTAACCCCATTGCCAAGCCCCCCCCCAAAAAAATTGTACTTTGGTATTTAAAAATGCTTTTCAATCAAACACAAAGTAAAGGTAACTTCTATATTTGTGACTATTTATTCTAACTCATTGTAATGCAAGATCCATTACTAAAAAGTACTTTGCTAGACTATGAGATAATTCTTAAGTGACATTCTTAACAATGCAAAAAGGTAAATATCAAAAAAGCTAAAGTTGACATTTTGTATATATAGTATTTTTTTTTAAATCAGGGAAAAGAGCTAGAATTGGAATTTAAAGTACAGTTGCATGCTTTCTTGATTTAGGAACCAAATGTTCTGTTCCATCAACAGGTCAGGTTTTGAAATAGTTACCTTTCATCTTCCTCCTTCTCCCTCTTTGCTATAATTCTGTTTCTCTTATTTTCCATCTGCTCTTCAAATAATTCATGTTTTCAAAGTTCAGCTTTGATATAAGACCACCTTCATTTAAACTTTTAAAAAGACTACTACTTAATTTAAACTGTCTTCATTTCTAGATAGAATACTCAGAAAGTGGCCTACTCTATTATAATTAATTTCAATAATCATATTATAAACAATCTCTATCTTCCTCAAATAGAAGTATGAAAACCAGATACCTTATTCCCATGTGTACCAGAAAGAACTTTGGTTCTTCTCTCAGACTGAGCATTTGTTAACTGAGGAACTCCTAAAGAAGTGTTTGTTGATTTGACTGACTTTGGGCCAGTCACTTCACATCTCTCTAGACTTCATTTTCCTCATGGAATCCTGACTACAGGAGCTCTCTGGATCCTTCCAGATCTCACCGCTCTGAAATTCTAATGCTATGCCATTTGCCCATAACTTGCAAACAGGAAAAAAGTCAGCTGCAAATGAATTACTCCCTTCTACCCTGGTAATGCCATTTAATTTACAGGTTTAACAGATCAAATGACAACTCAACTGATTAATCAGATGGTCACATAAGTTCCACACCTTAACTATCTTTCCTTACAAAGTAAGCCCAGAGGAACATTTCTATTTGGTGAGATGCAGTAAAAGTAAAAAAGGCTTTCCTACAGCTCAGGATAATGTAAAACCGGTTATTCCACCTGCCATTTCCAAGGTTTCTTTCTGCTCTTCTCTTCTCCTCTCCACTCCTCCCCTCCCCTCCCCTCCCTTCTGTCTGTCTGTCTGTCTCTCTCTCTCTCTCTCTCTCTGTCTCTCTCTCTCTCTCTCTCTCTCTCTCTCTCTCTCTCACTATAGGACATACAGGTGGAAAATACTACAATCCTCCAAAACCTCACAATTTTAAAGGGGAAAAGGAGGGAAGGAAGGTACTTCTGAAACGTTATTTACAATGACTCTAATTCATGTTGCAAAAAAATAAGTTGCAAAAACATTTCAAACAAATTGAACTGTGTTTACCTTTGAAAATAAAAGTTCATAAATGACATCACCTATTTGATAGAATGGGTTTAATCATTCCTTTCATCTCAAGTTGGAAGGCAGCTAATAGCTATTTGGTAAAACAACAAAGAAAAAAAGCACTACTTGGGTACAGCAACAAGAAATTAACCTCAGGCTGTGATATATACATGTACAGGCACTTAGTATTCTCAAAATGCACTAGCAAGTAACATTTTGCTTTGGTGAAACTGCTTATTTCTTCAAGTTCTATGCCTTCTGTTAAGATGCAGTTCTAGCATAAAATAGAAATCACACAGAAAAGGTGACAATGTTCAAAAGCATTCGGTGTCTTCTTGAACTGAATGTATGGAATCTGTATGGATTGAAACATGATTTTGGAACTTAACATCTCAGTCACCATTTTATTCTATGGCAGAAGTGACTGTAAAAGTACTCTATATTCACAATAGTACTGGGGAACTCTTGATTGAACAAGTTCACTCCTCAAAGTGTTAAACTGGAACTGTCAGATTCTTGCCTGTAGACAGGATTCTACTAAATCTGTGAGGCTTTGAGCATCCACCTGAAGGGCCACAATAAAGGTGGATTCCAAAGAGGTCATGTTTACTTGTCCATGGTCACAGCCAGCCAGGATTCAAAACCAGGTTTTTGGGTTTTTTGTTTTTTGTTTTTTTAATTGCAAATTTGGCATTTGTTTAAAAAAATTTTTTTAAAGAGAAGCCATCAACTTTATAGTTTACAAAGATGTTGTACTTGCCTCAAAATAATGCTCCGCAGAAGCGAAAGAATTAGCTCTGTGTTACATATAAGGAAACAGAAGCTCAGACAAGTAAACGACTTGCCCACTGTCATACAAATTCTATCCAAACCTGGCCTCCAACCCAGGGCTCCTGACTGCAGCACTGCTGAGCTTTCCACTGTATCCTGATCCCTTTGAAGCTTACACACTGAATATGTGATGTGTCCCCCATTTCTTTGCAGAGGAGGGGGATGGGAAGGACTCTGGTTGTGGAACACTGCCTATAATGTCAGTCTTCAAGTGTTCTCGATGCTCTTCAAAGACAGAAGAGAGGATCACAGGATGTACAGTTGGCAGAGTTCCCTAAGTTCCACCTTCAATTTAGTAACCCTGCAGATGCCATATAATACAGGGAACTGTGGCAAGAGATGTGTGCTTGGCACCCCTCCCTGGTACTTGGGATGCTTTCCCCCACAAAAACAATGTTATTAAAGGTGGCTGGATTGCACGATACCTTTTCTTTTTCAGTTCATCTACATGATGGTTTAAAGAAGCTTCTCTGGATGGGTATGGAAACTTAGCCTTCCCTTAAGTGTTGTTTCTATAAGGAAATGTTCTAAGTTCCAAAGAACCCAACTTAAACGGTGAATTCCCAAATTTCATTTGTAAACAGAGCGGCTTGTACTTCAGTCTTTTAAGGTGTCAGTAAGATACATATCTCTAAAACAAACACACACACACACCCCAAATTAGGAAATGTTTTAAGTTCCATATACTCCTGCAACCTTCTTACTAGAATCATGGAATATCTATGGAATTACTGCTTCAAATAACAAGCTTTCATTGCTCACATTTAATTTCTTGATGGAACTCACGTTAGAACTCAAGTCTCAGGAACAGTTTAAGACACACTAGCCAAATCTTTGTATCTACCACCTCACAAAAAATGCTTTCTTATACTTAAAGTTGTTCTGAAAAGAAAAAAGAAAACATCAAACTGAACACATACTGTAGAACCTGTAACAAAAAAACACCTGTATTTTCTACAGAATTGCCCATTAGGTATTTCCTGATTTCAGAGGATGATATGATAGAATGGCTTTCCTGAGAGAGGAGGAAGAGATCACTTTTCAATGTTTTCTGTGTCTGAACACTCTCCTTCCTTATCTCTACTTTCTGTCCTCCTTCAAATACCAGCTAAACTCCTAAACAGCTATTACCCACTTTCTACATGCTACAGCTGCCTTCCCCTATCCCTCTTAACTCTAGTATCTTCCATCTGTTGATCTTCATTTATTCCTGTATACAACCAGTTTGTACATAGTTTGCATGTTGTTGTCCCTATTAGGCTTTGATCTCCTTGAGAACAGATTATATTTTGCCTTTGTTTCTATCCCCAGTGCTTAGCACAGTGCCTGGCACATAATAGGCCCTTGTTAAATGTTTACTGACTGAACGGAAAGAGCACTGGATCTGAAGCTGAACAAATGGATTCAAATCCTAGCATTACCACTTACTAGCTCTATGACCCTGGGCAAGTCACTTCCTTTTTTTAGGACTCAGTTTCCTCATATATGCAACATAGGATTAAATTAGATGATCTATTTCTAGGGTCCCTTTCAGCATAATTTCTTAATTTTGGTTAGATATGAAAACTTATGCCAATTTTCAGAACTGCCTTCAAGAGAAATTCCTATAAGTGGCCAGCATCAACATCTCTCTTACCCACAAGGCAAAGTAGAACAAATCATAAATACTTTTCATAGATTTGGTTTTTCTTTCCTTAATGCAAGACAAATCACAATATGCCTGAATTATTAAACAAAAGAGATCACAGCAACCACATTCAGTTCCAAAAGCTATGAGAATTAAAATGTTTCTCTTGAATTAGGTCTCATTTTAAAATCACTGGTACTAGGCA